AATAAAATGTTAATCATTTTGTAGGGTTGTTAGTTGGCAATTATTACACCCTTAAATTAAACAAATCAGAAAAAATTTTGATTTAAAAAGCTACTTTACCAGATTATCGCAGCCATTAGATATGTACCATTGCTCGAGGTCTACAATAACTGAAGCAGAACTGAAGCTACATCTATGCTTACTTCTTTTTTTTTTTTGGTTTTTTGTCTGGTATCCGAGGTTTCGTCCCGATTAATCTGGACTCGACCCGCGTCGCGCACTTGAAAATAGTGGGTGCAGCGAGGCCTGCTGCATTCACAAGGTCTCGAACTCGAGACCTTACTTAAGCTGGAACAAGCCGCTTACCACTTAATCCAACCCATCATTGGTACATCTATGCTTACTTTTACTCTACAGAATATTATTATTATTTTCCCTTCAAAATTGTTAGGAACTGAAATTGTTAATTGAGTTAAAATTGATCCCAATTGTTGATTGTCTTGTAATTTATGATTAATTTGACAGAGTTATTAATTTATTTGAAGTTTTGATTTGTTGAGCAATTGATATGTGCTTGAATTATAATTACAAGTTATACGTATTCAGAAAGAAAATAAACCATTGAGTTTTTGTTTGCCCATTAAAAAATTTATAAGATGCATTCTCAAAAAGTTCAATGAAGTATTAGCATAGTAAGATTAATAATTAGTGAGATGGTAATAAGGGATGGGGGAGTGAAAAATCAATCCACGTTAATTATATACATTTATATACATTCATGAAGGAGAGGAGTGAATGGTATTTGTTATTTACAGTTCCGAAATTTGTTTCTGCAATCCACTGTCATTGGTTGGTATTTCTAGCATGTCAAGGGTGGGACAAAGCCGCAACAGATCGGGCCACCGACAACTGACCCGAGAAAATGGTATTCTGTGCGGGCCTAACGGGCTTTGGGCCCAAATTTTTGGTGACAGGCTTGGCCCGATTTTAAACGGATTGGTGTTCGACTTCTAACCCAGGAACCGAGTAACTGAATAATAGCCCCGAATAACTGAATAAGAAATAAATATGGAAAATGATTTAGGCCTGCACTATTTTTATATAATTTTATGTGTTATTTAAATAATTAATTTTTTTATTTATTTGAAATCCATAATATTAAATATATCCACTCATGTAATATCATATAAAAATTGTATAAAAAATAATGCAAAAAATTATCCTTATATCACCCCCTATAAATATATTTTCATTCCCTAAAATTTTCATTCCTTCCTTCCCATATCTGCCACCTCCCTTCCCCATAGATAAAAAAAGTTTCACCCCCACCAAATCCAGTCTTTAATCTTCCAATTTTTTTTTCTCATTCTTTAGTCCCTTTCCACTTTTTGTTCTATACTTCTATTTGTTCTCGCATTCTTGTTCTTCTTTTTTATCCCTTAATCTTACTCTATAGCTCTATAGCTTACTCTCTCTCTATATTTCTTTCTTTAATAACCTCCATCTTTCTACAAGTCTTATAACTCGAAAGATCAATCTCTTTCATCCCAAAAAGGTCGAAGATGTAACCATAGAATCTCGCTGGATCAATAACATCTCATCTTTGCTGGCAAGTAGCTTGAAGATGATCAGACCTTAGCTGAATATAGTATGCAAAAAGGATGAAATTTTGTCTTTTGATTTCTGTAGTCTTGCTTATAATTTTTTTTTTCTAAATAGAAAAGTCTTGCTTAGATTTTAAAATGGGTTTTCTTTGGTTTTACATGGTGTCTACATTATCTGGTGTTGACAGCCTTGAGGCTAAGGCGATGGGCCCTCTTTGATAGGCCATGGGTTGTAGGAATTGGGACAAGATTGAACCACTTTTTATTCTTTTTTGGACTTGTGAAATGTGATGGCTTTAGATATTTGGATGACAAAATTGAAGGAAATGGATCATAAAACATTGTTGGACATTTAGGCCACAAAACAGAAGGCCCAAACCCAAAAAAGTCACTAAGGACTGGAATTGATTAAAACTGAGACCAATATCAACCAAACCGATTAATTCGATGATAAAACCAAATAACCGAAATATTATTTAGTCTTATCTTTAGTTGTTATTTCACAAAATAATCAACTAATAAATCTATCAATTTGGGTTCGGTTCCAACCGAGTTGAACTGATGCCCACCCCTACCTGCATGAATGATTCTAGTGGGAACATTAGAGAAGGTATATAGAGCAACAATAGACCAACTAGGGGTTGAATCAAGTGGTAAACGGTTTGTTCCAGCTTAAGTAAGGTCTTGAGTTCGAGTCCTTGTATACGCAGCAGCCCTCGCTGGGAGACTCACCCACCATTTCCAGGTGCGCGAAGCGGGTCGGGTCCGGATTAGTCGGGGCGAAGCCCGGATACCAGGCGAGAAACCAAAAAAAAAAAAAAAAAAAAAATAGAGCAACAGTAGGACTAAGTAGAACTAATATGGAATTATATGCGCAGATTCGGCTTAGAAAATCTGTTGGGCATTTCAACAATCAATTAACGGGCACCAAAATAAGATAATAGATTCAGCTGCTGAATCATCCGATCAAATATTGACAATTAGCAAAATCCAATCAAGTAAACGCAAAATTAAAGGATCAACAGAGAAAGAATGAGAAGAGACTAGAGATAAGCCCGTAAAGATAAAGTAAAATCAGAGTTGTATCTGTAGGAATGGTTGAAGGGAACCAAAGAAAGAAAAGAAAAATTAGAGCTGCCGTGAAGTGATTAACAAAATAATACATACGGGGTCACTTTTTTAGAGGTGTTTGTTCATAGTCATGTAGTAAAACAGAGTGAAATCGATTTATGATCTTGCAGGGAGAACGGTTTTTTTTTAAGTAATTGCTCAGTGCTAGTGACCTCTATGAATGGTCTATAGTGGGAATACTGGAATTTACAGACTAACTCTCAAATATAGGTGTAGTCTCAACAACACATGAAGTTAAGCTCTTGGTATTGTCAGGAAGCCTCAGGATAAAGTTTTCTTCAATGTATTTATGATCATGAATTGATTGCCCTCTGTTCTAGCATGTGACTGTGAACCAACTACCAACCGCAAATTTTGATGAGGCCAGGCTGAAAAGAAATAAATTGCATCATAATCGATATTTAATGCAAAATGCAGTACTTCTACAGAAACAAATTGGTGTGCCATCTGCTAAGGGTGGACCACCGAACGTATAACTTCCGAGAACACGACACCGGCAGGGGCGGCAGCTCAGCTTTTAATTTTGCTCTCTGGTACCATCAACTGTTTTCTGTACAGATACAA